TTTTTTTTTTTATACGATACAACTTGATTTATAGCAAAATAATTTTAACGAATAAACGCAAGTGTACGTAATTTCGCAGGTTAACATCGGAGCCCGGAGCTTTCTGGAAATCTTCCGTAGCCAAATACGCGACAACATACCCTGAGAGTTCAGAGGTTCTGTTTACACGAGTTCGCAAATATAGCGATAGGTATCGGAGCCAACCGAAGCGAAGAATTGATAAATTAGTTATTCCGTCAGTCGTCTGCTGCTGTTCCTTCAGGTACGTTTGATTTGAGGTTTCGAATAATCATGCCTATTTATATTGAAGACCTTTGGAGCTTCCCCAATGTTCAGCTACCTAGACGTACAGGATGACTGAAACAGTATTCGACAAAAATATTTTTGTCGTTTGTTATTTCTATCTTTCTTTTTCCCTCGATTTCAGAAATAACGAATAATTGGAAATCTTGTTTTACGATGTGTAATCTGATACACGTCAAATGTCGGAGATTATACAGGGTTATAAATTATTTAGAAAAGCTTTAATAGAAGGCGTAGCTAACCCGTTTATCATCGGATAACAGTTCCAGAGTATATCCTTTGAATGTAACTCTACCCTTGGGTAAACAAGACTAAGGGTTATGACCATTCTCGTTTGTCTTTGCATCCGGAGAATCTTCGCGCGAAATCCCTAGCCAGGACCCAATTAACTCTCTAAGAATTCGATCCTATCCCATGGTAATTCTAAGATAGTGCGACTCTAACGGCAGATTAGTAAAGACAATATTTGCTTCGGTGCTTCTGCGTCTAATCGCGTATTGCCTCGCAGATGCGCCTTCACCTAATATCGCCTGCTATTTGTCTTCCCTTGCAATGAAAGTCTGCAACTTGGCTGTACACAGGGATATAACAAAAATCTAAGACAATCCGTAAGATCGTACCTATTACCGTTGAATTTATTCCTTCACAACCTTGACGTTCTATATTTCTTCTAACAGATCACGTCGAAAAATCACGTCGACATCGCACGTGAATTGCAACGCTTCTAAGAATCCTTCGTGTCTGACCACAGAGACCTCGTATCCGCATCGACGACGGTTTGAATTGAAGATTTTTGCGGACGGTAACTCGTTGGCTCACGCGCTAACGTATTTGCAAGATCCGCTGCGCTGATGGACATATAATGCGACGTGTGATTGTAGGCCCGCCAATCGCGGCCGATTGTGCCTCTGAAGGCCCGCTAACTATCTCAAACTAGCCCCATTCAAACCGCCACGACCTCTCTCTATCCGTCTCTATCTGCTAGCCCGGTCTCTGTGTCTCGCTCGGTTCAACCCTCATTCACCGCCATCCCTCTGTGCCCGTGCGTCTCGTTCATCCCCAAACTTCGCCTCTCCGTTGCTCGCAACTCGCGTCTCGTTTGCACCGACTTCACTCGGCGATTTTCCCTCCCGCTCGGCGAGGAAAACTCCATCCTCATTCGTCGTTCGAATTCGACATATTTCTTGCCGCACGTTTCTTCTAACACGTCCTGTGTCCTTCTCTAATTTTCCACCGGCTCTCTCGCCGTACACGTAATCTGCTATTTTCTTCGCTTTACCCTTCCCTAATACCGTAGCTCACTCCACACATATAGGGTCCTGATCTTACCTCTTTTCTATCTCGCCTTGCTAATCGAACGTTTTGCCTCTCATTTAACATCTTTCATTTTCGCTCCCTCTATTCAACATCTCATCAAAGATGTTCTATTTACCGAGGTGATATCTTCGTTTCGTTATCTGCACTCCGTTCTGCGCTCTTTTCATCCGTTCAAATCATGCATCTCGTTCAACACATTTTCTATTTTGCAAATTCATACATTCTTGCCCCTAGCTGTTTCTCTTAGGAACGTGATCCTCTCGCTGCCATATCCGCTCTCTTCCTCATTTCATCGTTCACCGCTCCTCTCTCGTTTGATTTTCGCGTTCTTTTCTCTACACAGCTCTGCTTCATTTTCTCTCCCCTTCCCTTCTCAAATCTGTGTTCTCTCTC